TTGCTCAGGCGTCTTGACCATCATACCGATCTCTTGGTACACGCACAGCCCCCCAAACATCACAACGCCCAATGTCAATACAGCTTCGATAACTCCGCGAGTCGGCTACTGCATCATTCTGGGCTACATCGGCGGGATATTTGAAGTCTTGGGCGGTTTCGTTATGTTCATCGGGATCTGCCGCTGCTGCGGAGGGAAGAACCGAGGAGAGGTCCGGGTTGAAGAGGTCATGCGTCGCAGAGAACCGAAGACCCCGACCAGGCGCGTTGAAGTGCCGAATCTCAGTCGGGCCAGGAGCGCTGCCAGCAACAGTAGCGTCCCGTACTCCAGGGACTCACTGGATGACGATGTGTCCTTCCCACGGGCCAAGAGCCCCCCTGCCCGCTCAGTGAACACCGTCAACAGCAGACCCTTTGATGCGGACCTCTGAGAAGCCAACAGTACCCTCCACAACTGACCATCAACACAGCAAAAGAAAACTTTGAAAACTGGACTAAGATGAAAAATCTTTTAGCAGATTACTGCAATAGCACAAGAACGTCAGAACACACTACTAGAGATATTTTAGGGCCATAAAGGAATTTTTCAGTGGTAAGAGATCCAATAACCTACTTTAGATTCTCTGTTGCAGTGTTTCATCATTAAAAGTTGAAGGAAATGGAACATAAAAGTTTGGTTAATGTATGTGTGACATGGTCATGGCTGCTTATTAATGTGACTGTGGGTGGACCAGACCCCCTGATTGTAGTTAAATTATCATTGTAATAGATTATAGTCAAGTGGTGTCCAGTGTATATAGTCCAGTGTATAATGGATAATATAAAAATGGAAGGAGCCAGCCTGGAATGGAGGGCTCTAGAGTATTAAAAAAGAAAAGTAAATAACATTAAAATTGATTCATGGAGAAAAAAATATATTTCTTGATGATAATCTGTGTAAATTCTAAATATGATTCTACGCTGTAAATATCCCTCATCCTGAAGGGCGCTTGGGCATTTTATTTTCTGTGTAGCTGTGTGGCTACATTAAATATTCCAGCCTTTTTTCTCTTTCATGTAAATGCTCTATAGTGATGAACTTTAAGTCCCTTCATCTTGAACCCTGAAATGATTACTGCTGTACTCATTGATCTGTGATACATATGCTGGTAATTAAATTTGCTCTCCATTTCCTAACAAGATGTGACTGTCAATTCTTTACAAACTTTTCTGACATTATGATGGAATGTAACGAAAGTAGTAACGCAACAATTTCAACAAAGAAAGCTCCATAACAGAATGAACATTGATGCTGATTTATAACAGGACTATAGAAGAGTCATAACTTTGGCAATATGTTCTTTGATCAGCAGGCACGTTATGTGATCCATTGCTTTGCCATACTTAGTCAAATGTATATAATGTGGTACATTGCACAATGATATATATTTTTTCTCTCACCCTGTTTGCTGTCTTAACCTCACCAGTATTCAGACAATGCAGTCTGACCGGTCTGAGAGGTTGGTTTCTTTGTTTATCTTGTCCAACTACATTATCTCTTTTGTTTCAGATGCCATTTGAAACGAGGTGAAAATGTAATGAACGTTTGTCTTTCTATAGTCTCCATTAAGTCCTTTGTGAATAAACAGGCTTGCAAAATGGCATGGTTTTTCCTGCAGGACCTGTTGCATGTTACAACAATGGAACGGACATAGATGATGAATAAGAATGTTTTTATTACAGTTCTTTGTGTGCTGACACTGCCCCGAAGAACAGATCAACTCTCAGCGGTTAAACTGAAGAATAAAGACAGAAAATAAATTGAATGGTTCTAAATTGTTTATAGATGTGAATAGTTGGCTGTGTCTCTGTCATGGCTGCAGTTCCTGCAACTCTGAAGTGGACAAATGGTTAAGAAAATGAATGGATGCATGGATGAAAACTTAGTAATGTCACAGTTCTTCAGTTCCACCTGAAAAATGGCAAAAATATAGCAGAGATTTGAGGAGGGACTGTGTTTCTTCACACTGCTATGGATTAGAATGCCTTGAACAACTTACTAAACAAGATTGGTGTAAGTGCTATTATTTCTACATTTGTCCTTACATCATTTCCCCATTTTAATTATTTTCAAAAAAAAATATTTTTAGGTTAAATGTTGAGGATGGTCAAGACAAGCCACATCACACGTTGTGATTATAATATGATACATTTAACTATCATACAAGCTATATCATGTGACATAGTCTGGTCAGTCTGAGAGGTTTGCATATCATCCAACAACATTATCTCTTTAATTTCAACTGTATTAGCATTTGAAATGAGGGAAAAAAAGGGGAAAAAAGCAATTTTCTCAGTTAACTTTTTTTAAACTAGTGCTTGATCACAGGAAATTATGTGTTTGGTTTGGTCAAGTATCCATCGTAAATAAGTAAGAGTAACATTTATTACTCTTACTTATTACTCAAGTAAAAGTAAAAAGTAAAAAAAAAATTTAAAAAATTAACTCAAGTAATCTGGTGAGCTTGTTTCTAGTACTGTACAGTCTTTATATTACAGTATAAAGAAACTTGAGACAACTGCTCCTGTGTTTTGGAGCATTATAAATAACATCCAATTTAATTGAAATAAACACTCCAAAATTGAAAAACATATGCTTTGTGTGTCGGGGTTAGTACAAAACCCAGTGTTGGACAATGTATTTGTCCAACACTAGGTTATAAAGGAACCTTCCACTTTACACGAAAGCAGTTTTGCGTTATGCTGCCTGGACAGCAGTAATTGTCAATGAAGTTTCTCTCCTCTTATCTTGATCTATTCATCCTTGACCTCTCCACTTTTGCTTTTGTCACGTGACTTTTATCTAAGAAAACTCCCTCTTCGTAATGTAACAGCATCTAATGGACTTAATGGTCAGATAATTGTGTTGCAGTGACGCTTACAACAATTATTTTTACATGCAGCGGGACCAAAGGTCAGAGTTCAAAAGTAAAAATGTTCCGGATTTGTTAGATAATGTTTAATCTGAAATGTTTTTATTTCGTACAACCCTATTCCCTACACTCTGTGGGGACATCCACACACACTTCAGAGGGTCAGCAAGCCCCAGGCCCAGTGCTCTGCTGGGTGTCGGGTGGTTCTTGGCCACCTGGAGCCTTGCTATTGGCTCGTGGCAGCATGGCTGTCCTCTGGAAAGGTAGGCACCTTGTTACCTCTGGTTCTTTGGCTGTGGCCCATGAGGGCTAAATTTGGGGCCTACCACCACCACCTGTTTTGGCTTGGTTGGGAACACAGTTGCCACTAAGAAGTGTGGCATTGGGTCTTCACTGGTTGGGGGGCTGCAGATGACATGGGTCTCCTATGGCCTTTCTCTCTCTGCCTCTGGCTCCTGGAGGGCACTATTGTGGCTTCTCATTCTCATCGAGTATATTTCGTGACAAAGACGCACGCACCGTCTTCATAAAAATATTTAAAGATGCTGATCTCCTTGACCATTACCAGATGATGTTCCTTTCTGAAAACGAGAGTAGAGGTTTGAGGCAAACTTCAACTTGTTCCTATACTTGTACAGAGGTGCACAGAGAAGAGAATAAGATCTGCAGAAATGAAAGCTCCAGAAACATACAGTATAAAAAAAACCCAAAAGGAAGGCCACAAGCCAAAGTATGGTGGGCAAGCACTTTATTTTTTTTTAATATTAAGTGTTTAATATTAAGACATATTTGAGATTAAATTTACTGTTTGAAGCCTTGTTAGTTAATAACTAAGAAAGCTGCTTTTGTATTTCTCTATTTAAAAAACAATCCACTGACATTGTGGTAACTTAAATCTTTTTTATCCTCTTTTGAATACAGAGAAATCTGACCCATCGTATAGAAATTGTTATATTGTTCAATCCCCTGAAACATTTTAAAATCCCAGTTTCAAACCTTTAGATCTCAGCATACACAGAGCACAATGTTTCTTTATAGATTTCCAATTTTGCTTATATTCTGACAACCAGGCTTATTTTTATTAATGTTATAATAAGAATATATATTTTAAGAGAGTCTAGAGGGTCAGTGTAGTATTCTTTTTTGGAGTAAAAAGTGTCCTGAGACATCTGTGGGTGGAGACTATGGGCCAGTAAGGACTCGCAGATGCGCTTGGAAGATGGGTGTGACAGTCTTTCTGTCAAAAGTCTTTTCATTAGACAAAGGTACCAGTACAACACAAAATACAAAGTACTTCAGAATTTTCGGGTGTGACAGTCAAACAATCATAAGTCAAACTTCAATGTCTTTCCTCCACTTTTTTTTTTTATTAAATCCATTTTAATTAAATGTAAAATTCAGGAACTTCCCTGTAAAAAGAAATTTTCTCCCACAAAACGCTACATCCCGATAAACAGAACTTTTGGAGACAAATTTTCAAAGTGCAGCAGAGATGGCAAAAGTACACACTCACATTACTTGAGTTGAAATATTTGTGTTGAAAAGTACTCTGGCAAAAGTGGAAGTGGCGATTTAAGTGCTTTACTTAAGAGTTGAAAAAGCACAGTCTCTGAAATGTACTCAAAGCACAGAAGTAAAAACGAGCCCCCCCCCCCATGTTAACTTAACCTTTTGAACTAATATAATGACAAAATAACGTTAACAGGAGGGACTGAAGTTTATTCTAACTGAAATGCTACTTTTAAATAATTCCCACAGCTTGAGCATCCGTGATATAGAGCACACGCAGAGAACAACAAAGGAAATTTTTTTAAAAATTGCTCTGTCAGGTACAGATGGGTGAGCTTGCCCCTCCACAATTAAACAGGAAAATTCATGCAAGCACAGAAGATGTGCTTGCATGAATACAAAAAACAAAAAAACAAAAACAAAGGATGCAAGCACATGTTACATGCCTGATTTCCCACCGATAGACAGTATAAAGCTGGTTAAAAGGTAGAATTTGATCAATCAGCTTAAATTTCATTTGATGTGAAGCACCCTTCATGTAGCCTAACATTAACTCATGAAAACCTCACTGCACTAGACCCATATAGCGATTTACACTTTACCAAAGCCCTTTAAACTCAGTGTGGCCTGCACTAAATGTCCCAGTATTTTTATACAACCTTTAAATAACAGTTGAATAAAAGTTCCTGTTCATAGATCCAATATCTGATCAAATAACTCTAAAAAGAATTGGGATGTTATAAGCTGAACTGTCCTTACTCCTTCCTTGTTTGTCCTGGCTTTCTTATATCCTCTCTCTCGGTGAAGCCATCTCTCATTTCTATCTTTCACTGAAGTACAGCAGCTGTATGTTTGGCTTGCAGGCATAGTGTGACAAACTGCACAGAAACAGGCTGTTTGCTCGCTCATGTTTGCTGAAACGTTGCATTTGCAACATTTAAAAGTGTTACGCTTGCTCCTCTTCTATGAGCTAGATGTTGAACTACCCTGACAGCTTATTAACACCACCAGTGATGGATACAGTAATAGTACCGTCTTGTGTTACTGCTCCCAGCATTTAGGTTCAAATCAGTCTGATGAGTCTAATAAACAATATCCTCATTTCCTGCATACAGTGGCTGACCATACAGCCAAAAGCCGACTCATGAGGAATTTGTGTAATCTTGAGTAGTTATACTTGTGGGATGTACTTCTAATTGCCATGATACAAGTAGCTCCTCCTTCTGCAAACAAGCATGCAAAGTCTGTCCCTTATTAGGACAGCAAGTGTTGACCTAGTTATACCCTGAAGGCAGATGCTTCCACTTTTTTGTTGTTACACATCTTATTATATGGCAAAACTGGTTAGGTTCTCAGCCTGTGAGGATTGAATGTTCACAGCCATCATGTCTGAGTTTAGTAAACACCGAACCTGATATTATCATGTCACTGGATGCCAGAAAAAGAGGTTTACTGTAACAGGGGCTCAAAGACAGCCTACCCTGAGTGATAAAACACTGTGACGCCCTGCAATATAAGCAGACTGTCCAGTTAATCCCGCCCCCCCAAAACAAAACCCACAGAGTGAGATGTTCTCTTCTGTCTATATAATTCAAAGGGTTTACAAGCTAGTGGAAGACACTTGAGAATGCATACATTGAGAAACCCTGCTCATCAACAATAGTCATATTCATATAAAAATTCAACACATGTACACACAAAAACATGATAATCTTAACAATATTGAGTGTTGTATACGGGAGCTCTGAAAATCTACAGTAACATTAACATTTTGCAGTTTTACCCTGTTGTCAGGGAAGCAGACATTTGCAAAACATTACTGAGTTGTTGATGATTAGTTTACATTTGTGATTATCAGTATTCACCAGGTGAAACATGACAACTGTGAACATGTGAAAGAATTAATACAGTAGGCACTTAACACTGGCTACAAGCTTGAGGAACTTGACTAATTATTCAGCACCAAGATGCTATGTAGTTTTCATGTTTACAGGACCGGAAGTGTACTGAGTGGTAATTAGTTTGTAGGCTGAAATTCAAAGAGCACACGAACTCATTTAAAAGCACATGTACTGTCAAGTTTTAAACATGCCAAGATTGAAATCTGCTCTGACCACTCTCCTATCATCTGTACAATATGCGCATGTTGTTGACAGCTCTGCAGGATTGTGTCTGCACAGATTTACATGCATTATTTTCATAAGCATAGCCGTATATGAGAGTAAAAGCAGGCCAGTGATGTACTGGTGCATTTTTGTTACAACAGCATCAAAGACAGGGCACTTAGAAATAGGTAGAAATACTTCCCGAAAAACCTGAAGTGTTAAAAGGCGCGCACTCACACACACACACGCTTAGAAGAAAGAAATTCCAGGGGAACAATATGATACAGCCAGCAACTGCACACGGTACAAAAATATGTACTGAATGAAATGAAATAAACCCACGCGAGTGGAAAAAAAAGTGCATATTTTCTACATAAATTTTTATAAAAACTGTATGCCATCAAATCAGCTTCTGACTTAGCCCGTTAAACAATCTAGAGTTATCTTAAGTGTTATCTCTGTTAGAAGCCTTCACTAGAAAAATAACAACCACTTGCTTTACTTAAACTAAACTGCAGCTCCCTCACAGAGGATGAACATTTACATTAATTTACTAACAAGTGTCAGAGTTTAAACTAATTGCAGAAGCATGCCTTAGCATCCAAGAAATGTGATCACGGAAGCTGCTGCTGATTAGAATACAGACATTTTCACTCCAAGTTTAAAATTAGGTCAACAGAATTATCCAGTCTTGTTGTTTTCCGAGATGAGGCACAAGTTTAATAAGCATGAGGCTTGCGATACGACGCAGCTGGAGATGGATACATTTATATAAATGGAAAAATACTATATAGGAAGCAACTCTCCCATATGCCTTGGCACTCAGTTTGTGAAGTTGGTGCTAGAGTCTCCAGGATGCTGCAGAATAATTCTTATAGTAGCCACAATTTGATCATCAAAGTAGGTCAAACGTTCTGTTCGACAGTTATCCACGTTAAGCAGCACTGTTTTAGGCTTTTTGTTCCAGTAGTTTCCTGCTGAAGAAAAAAAGAAAAAAAAAAAGTTCATTTTGTTGTGAATTTTCCTCATCATGGATACGAAGTCAGTGACTTAATTCGTTTAGCAAAGACACTAGGGGAAAAAGTGAGAATAACCATAACCAAGTAAAAAATTAAATAAAATTAAAAAAAAAACAAAAAAAAAAAAACAAGAAAACAAAAAGCAAAACATTACATACACAGCTCTGCTGTGATGGAAAGGCACTAATGTGATGAAATAAAATTGTTTCAATTGTTTGAAAATCTAAATTAAGCAAAATACTGCTTTTCATTTCTGTTATTTTAGCTCCTCCTCCTGCTCATGTTTCAGCAGGAGGACCTTAATCTTTTATTTAACTCAACAATGGCTAAAAACAACAACCTTCTTGGTTGTATAGTCACTCTGAGGTAATATTACAGTCCATTTTTACTGTGCACACACACTCATATCCCATGTAGACTGTACATAAGAGGATATATCCTACAGATATAATATAACAGTATAAAAGATGGGCTAGCCACCATGAGTTCACCACTTGGTTAGTGAAGCCCTGCTATAATGTCTTGATCTTTTTTGCAGTCACCGTCTTTGCGTTTTGAAACCAGATGACTAAAACTAGACTATTGGCTAGCAATTTACATCATTTGCCATTGAACAAACATTACATAATCCCTTTGACTGAAAGTATGTGACCTGAAAGTAGTAATTGAACATATAAAATCCATCAAGAAAGTGCTTATCAGAGGGGGCCGGTTTGGCTTGGTGGGTGAGCAGGAGACCATGTCTCGCATGGCCGGAGGATAGCGGCCCGGGTTCGGGTCCAATCCCCCCCCCCCATACTCTCCAGCAAAGGCTAAAGCATAGCATAGACCAAAATGCTCAGCTTTAGGCTTCAAACCAGTCAACTGGTGTCATACTGGATACATCCACCTTCAATCTACAGATTATATTCTCTCCTGGTTAAATAAAAATTTGAGAAGTTGTCAGTTGGAAACAAATTTGTATAGCTGTGTGCTGTAGTACTAGAAAGGCATACATTAAAATGATCAAAAGTTAGTTTGATATGAATTTGGGAAAAGTTCAGTTTTTGTACTATCCAAGGCAAGTAATCAAAAGACGATGTTGTGTATAGTTCTATTTAACACACCCCAATGTAAGGTCACTTCTATAACCCCACTCTTCAGATTGACAAGAAATCAAGTACACATGTTCATAAATCAGGGAAAATGCTGAAAGTAAGCTTTTCTAGATACATGCGTTTTTACAGAATCATGTGCAATATGTCAGTACCTTCGCTGCTTCCTTTTTCTCTGCTGGTACTTGGCAAGGACGAATGCCAGGATTGCGAGGCCAATGAGGACGGCTAACACGCTGAGGGTCAAAGGTATACCTAACGCTCCATTGACCGTTTCCCCGCAGGAGTCACCCTTGTAGCCCAGATCACAGTTGCATAGTAGATCTGTACCACCACCAGGAGGAGTCACACAGTTACCATGGTTGTTACACTGAGACTCTCGACAGGCGGACAGGTTGGGGCTGATGCCTCTCCCTTCGGGAGGAAGGGAAGTGGTGGTCATCTTAAACGAAGGACTAGCTGGAGGCACACTAATAAGAGATGGAGAGAAAATGGGGAAAATGGGATGAATGGTTAGAAACCCGCCCAAAAATTAATCTAACCTCTGCTACCATAACATTTGCTGACCAAACAAAAGGAGAATAATCTTGAAATGTGATGATTTTCTTTGTTTGTTTGTTTTTTTTAAATGCAACATTTAAAAAAGTAGTACTAGTATTATCGGAAATGACAAATATTCATTTTTATACTTTTCTGTTTTTATACACGTGGGAAAAACCCCCAAACTGTGTGTGTAAGAGTGTAGGAAGGAAGACCTGTTGTATACAGAATATTTTACTTTCAAATCACAAACAAATGACCAAAGGGGGAAAAACGTTTCATGCAGTACGTACCACTGCATGAAACGTTGTGAAGGCTGCACATCTATTCTTACGGCAAATACAGTTTCTTCTCAGGTAGCCTACACATCAAATCAACAGAATAAGTAACTCTTTCTCAGCCATGCGTTCCAAGTATGTTCAACTGTTTTTAGATTCTGAACACATCATTTTAAGCTAAGCTGTCCGAGGACGGTGACCTAACTGCTCAAGTAAGCTACAATAAATGCGCTTAAGAGACCAACATCTACAAACCAGCTTTTTTGTGATCAACAAGTGCCGATGTGGACGTTATTGTACTTACAAACAAGAATCTTGTTATTCTGGTTTCCCAGCAGCATTGTGCTCCTCTCTAACTCCAAGGCAGGCGCAGGAGTAACACGACAGAGGAACACACTGTACAAGAAAATGAACTTGCCATATACTCACAGAAGCAAAAAGGAGTCAGCCACGAAGTCCTAAAACGCTGCCAGTGGAATTTTAGTCGCAGGATTGTCCAGGTGTCTGTTTGAATGATGACGTTGGTCAATTTTTTTCAAGTTCCCTTTTTGTTACACGCTCCCTCACTGAAAGAGAAGGCGGGAAGAGGAAGAAAGCTGTGAATACCTGCTTGTGTTTTTATGCACACACTCCTCCCTCGGTCTTATCTTTAAAATCGACACACACACACACACACACACACACACACACACACACACGTCCGTTTAGCTATCTTAGTGAGGACCTTCATTGACATAATGGTTTCCCTTGCCCCTTACCCTAACCATTAAAAATGAATGCCTAAACCTCACAAAGATAGCTAAACAGGAACACACACACACCTCTCTGACACGGATGTAGAACCTTTAAATTTCACGGGGATTGTATGGAAACTTGACATCTCAAAGTTTGAGTCACAGCGTTTCACAAAAATTCATTTTTCTGGCATCCGTGGGAACTACCAATTTTTATTTGTGTGATGTATTTCAGACAATAAACCATTACACAGGAAGGCTGAAAAATTATGTGACATAGAAAAAGCCAGGCAAGAGGTCTGCGCACCCTTTTCTGTACTGAAATGCAGTTGGTGTGCTTGTTAGCCTAGTGGGTGGATGGAAGGATTAGAAAGCAAGTAAGAACAGGACTCGGGTAGCAAGACCTGACATGACTGACATGTCTGCGTAACATGCAGACATTCATGCACATGTTATATAAATACTGTTGACACGTGTAAGAGAGGCTGGGGGCCACACAACTAAAACTGCTTGCAGGCATTTCAGGTTCACTTGAATATAAATGAACTTTCTTGCAATATTCTAAGAAAGTTCATTTATATTCAAGACATGTTTTTCGTCATGTTATTTTCAGCAGAAGCCTCTTAAATTCCATGTTCACATGTGGAGCCGTGTTATTGTAACCGTTCATCAACTGGCTCTTAACAAACATAAATTAGTCGGCACAAATCACAGTCATTATCTCATGGCTATTGCAGCACAGCACCTCACTGGACTACTATTTTGCTGTCTCGTCTGATATGAAAAAGGTTAAGGGCTTTGTGCCATCTCTGCTCTCAGACTGTCAAACTTGACTCATTATTATGATGAATTGCAGTTAGACTCTGAATAGTTTGAATATTTTAATATGAACACTCATAAGATGACTGCTCAAAACAAACTGCATGGACTTCCAAGCTGTTTGTTCAACCACTGGTACTTTCCAAACCATAAGTCAGTGCAGGGTAAATTAATACAAACAACCTGCAGTCAACAGAAGGTGTCACCCCAATATTTACATTACCTTCATTGCTTGTCATCACCAAGTGAGGTAAACAGGTGAATGCAACTACCTTTATCGTTAAAGACACACCCAAAGTTACACGACTAAAACCCAATGAAGAACACGCACACAAACCGTCTGCAAGCATTTTGAACAGTTAAGTGAGAGGTTAAGTTTGAGAACAAATGAAATTCAAGCCAAACAAGGGATATCTACTGTCAGGTTAACAATACCAGCTAATCTCTCAACATCAGGATGAAAAAGGGAGAAAACCGCTAGATGCTACTCCTGTCTAAAACGAGTGTTTCTGTAGTACAGCAGCCACAGTTTTATTTAAAGCTTTCCTCCAACCCTCAAGGTATCCAAGACATCACAAAATACTTCAAGTGGAGGGAAATGTTGAGTGTCGGTATGCTGCAATTTGATGGCTGACCAGACAATTATTGGTCATAGAAAGCTCAGTTTCAAAATTCAACTAAAGTGTTTAATCTTTCAGCTCAAGAAGAGATGGATTTGAAGATAAAATGGCTAGGAGGGGAGTCCACAGAGTATGGAGGGTGAATTCATTTTGCAAATGTGTTCATTCCTTGTGTCAAAGAATGTTATGCCACTCCAGGAGAACATCCCAAAACTCAGCAACAAAGAAACCCTTAAAGCTAAGAGTTTGGAAACAGTCTTTGAAAGATACCCACCAATTCTTGCTGTCTCCCAGAGTTGTCATATTTGGAATAAGCTAGAGGAAAGCCCACTGTGGAGAAGCTCACAGTTTGCAGGACAAATTGATTCCAGTGGGACTCAAAGAATATGTATGCATCTATGTAATTGACAAGTAACAAACGACCCCAGCTTTGGTTTTACTCACGATAACCTGAGCTTGAAATCTTGACTACTCACTGCTTCTTACCTGCCAAGACAGTGGAAAGCCCTGGAAAGCAATGCTTGATACATAAAAAGTATCATCCTCTAAAGTAGAGGTTTTAGAGCAAAGCCTATTGAGGAACACAAGTTATTTCCGAAGGAAATTCATATTTCTTTCAGGTGTGGCAGATCGGCTCAACATGTAGCCAGACACTGCAGATTGGCAATTAAATGCATGGACCGAGGAAGTGAAAAAACACTTGTTGGCGCTACATCTAAGACATCTACTTGAATTGAAGAGTAGGCATAAAATTGCAGAGTCATAAAGATACTTTCAAAATAGCCAGTTTCTAAATTTATATATTAGTAGATTCATAAATCATGTAGCAGGCCATCTACCAAGTTAAGCAAAGAGATTACTTACAAAAACCAAAACATGTTTAATCCCTTTTTTTGGCACCCACCACCCATGCTCACCCTACCTTTATTGCTCGTCAAAACCAGGTGAGGTAAACAGATGAATGCGTCTACCTTTAACCCTGGAGACACACCCAAAGTGACACACCTCCATAACCTAAACCCAATGAAGTGCAAGGACCTAAACTAATCCCTGAACTGACACACATTTTTAAGGAATGTTCTGGCGTATTTGAACCCAAGCCATCACCATTTCCTAAAAATAACCACGTATTTCTGTGGTCTGAAGCTAAACATAAATTAATTGCCAGCTTAACAGCCCTGAAAATCAACATTTGAGTGGTAGCAATAAAAGGAACTGAAATGTCAAGGCATACCATTTTGAACCTGGCAATTTGAAACCAGTTTTTCCTCTTTACTAGAACTGGGAGTGTATTGGGTTGAAATTCAGATACTTGCCCTACTAGGAATTTGAGTGAGTAAAGTTTATTTGTAGAGCGCTTTTCTCACACACAAGTCACAAAGCACTGTGTAACAATTGTAATGGAGAGAACCATGTTGAAACTAAATTTAAAAAAAAGTTTAAGAAAAAAAAAGAAAAATTATGTCTGCAGAAAAGCGCATCAGTTTATGAATAGAATTTATTTAAAAAAGGAAGAAGTGTCAACCACTGACACCATTTGATATGTCATGTTTGCTTTCCCAGGCACCAGTATGAGGCAGAGTGAAGGTAATGCATGACACTTGCCAAACACCACACCTCATTTGAATTAGGTCATTTGATTACAAAGCCTCTGAACAGTTTCTCACATTTCAGTTTTTCATACTCCCAGCTGTGTCCATGTTTCAATACCAAGGATATTGAGATAGTAATTACCAACAAGTTATTTTATTGAAAATTCTCTTCCCCCAACTTATAGTATTAAGGCAACAAGCAATACTGTCAAATTAAAAACCACGCATGCTCATAGTTTCAGGATAAAACAGCTTTTAATCAGATTGAATGACAGAAAACAAACAGCAACAAATGTTCCAGGGAGAAACAGAGTGGAAACCAGGGGCAAAAGTGAAACAAGTAAGCTTTTGTTTAAAACTGGTATCAGAATAACTGATGAATGGATAAGAACTCACCTTGAAAAGAAAAAAAAAAAAAAAGTGTGGCAGACATTCAGTGTTGGCAGGAACAGAATGTAATCTTAAGTAGATACGCCCCATTGTGAGAACTCTCCCAGGAGTGTAAGATGTAAAACATACTGTGTACACAAATGGTTAAAGAGAGAAATGTCAGAGATCGAGACACTGAGCACATTACAAATAAAGAAAATCTGGTTCAAGTGATTTAACGTCTTTATTTTTATTATTGTATTTCAACTCTTATCGATTCAGCTCAGCTCGTCTCTCCTGACTCACTTATATGACACAGCAAATTTACCAAACCACTCCCAGCAATCAAATCAGCCTGTGGAAAATTTTTATAAATTTGAGAGCAGCCGCTAATAGTGAGAACTTTCATTCTATAAAATTGCACTTTTTTTCAGCATTTTCATAGCCACTGAAATGCATCCTCACAAATTACACATGAGGCCTGAGAATTTCCAGGTTGCTATAAAGCTAGCACAACAGCTAGTGCAGAGTAGAGTAGTCTAATCGAGCTGTGCCAGAGGGTTTACGTCAGCTGGGGAGTCCACCTCCTGAAGGAGGAGACAAACAATTAATAAATCATGTATTTTGGCTTTTAATTCAAATGCAACAGTTCTCACAGGAATAACAGTTTACCTCAGAGTCAGACTCTACATCACTCGATAGACCCATGTTGGCCATGAGATTTTCCTTGTCTGCGGATCTGCTTCTGATGAGCTCCCATCCTCTCCTGTTGAAATTGGAAGCCACATTTTAATTTTCTACTGGACGTTACTCACCAAGTTACGAATCCAAAAATGTTTTTCAAACACTAATCACTGCAGGAGCCGACTCTTCAGTTCAGTTTCTTTCAAGACAAAGACAATCTGGGTAAGCAAGTAGTTGGTCTCTCCCTCTACTGCAATTAGTACCTTTTAGTGAAAATAAATCCGGCGACTATCAGCACTGCAATGAGGCAGAAGACACCCAGGATCACCCCGACATGGCTTTGCCTTTCTTCCTCTTGACAGAACTCTCCTTTGTAACCAGACAGACACTGGCAGCGAGTGAATTTACCCTCCACAATGCAGTTCCCATGACTACTGCAGCGTTGCAGATCACAGGAGGCAGAGTCTTGAAGTGAGACAGAGTTCTTGTCTGTGTTGGATGTAGATGATGACGAATCCAGAGGGTGGCCATCAGTGTCTTCAGTTCCAAATGAGGCAGTGTTTGAAGTCGGACCTAAAGAGAAAGTCACCGTCAGTGACTGAAATGAGCTGCTTGGTAAACATAGGTGCATGTGTAGCTTCATTGTTTTTTTTGCATTTGGACACATCTAGACTAGCAGTTTCCTCATTTCAAACATTTACACTAACCGGAGCCAACAGGCTGCTGGCGATTTATTCTCACTGACTATAGACATGTGATAGTGGCTTCACTCTTTCCTTCAAAAACTTAAGATGAGTTTTCCCAGTGCTGTGCTGATCCTTTAAGACACATTATATTAGCTTTTGATTTTAACCTGTTGGAGCTAAATGTGACTCGTGTCAATGTGGCTCAGGTTGGACATTAGTGAGCATTTAAGCTGTCTACTAAATAGTACAAAGCCTTTGTAAATGTTCTCCTGCAGGAACACCGTAGATAGACTGGAACATTTTGAGCAACTGACTCATGCATGTTGCCTCCTTCAAGATGTACTCAGGCAATACCTCGTCTCAACCAAATTAATTGGCAGGCGCGAGAAAAGCATGTGACCATTTGTAAAAGGTAACTTGGCAAATTGTGTAGACCTAATTTATTCTGGAGTTCTGTTAAATATCTGGAGGATAGTGTTACACTTTTTACTCAGGTTAATTCAAATAAGACTGTCATACCATCTTACCATAGCCCCCCATTACTTTCCAAAACAAGGCAGTTTAACGTGGAATTGATATTTGTATTCAGGGCATGACAAACTAAGTTCACTTAATACTGCTTCTTTAATCTGGTCGAAAACTCACAGTCCTGTTCGTCCGACTGGTCCAGGCAGTCAACCTGTCCATCACAGAACTTGCTCCTGCTGATACACTGGCTGCGGTCAAAGCAGGATTCTTCTCCAGGGGCACAGGAGGTAATTGGGGCACAAGAAGTGACATTTAAGGTGTAAAAGCCACGCCCACATTTACACATCCTACCTCCGGGATAGGCCAGGCACAGATGGACACACCCTCCATTGTTTTTGGAGCAGCTATTGCTTCCTGGAGGAAACGAGTAAGCAGTATTTAGAGCATGCAGGCTCAAATTTATCTGAAGCACTTTTCTTTAAAAATATCTCAGGAGTCATGGTAACACCACATTTACGTATAAAATAGCATCTTCCTTAGCTTCCAGAACTACTGGCTTTTCGGGAATTTGCCTAATACAAAAAAAATCCTGTAAAGTACCAAACACAAATAACTTTATATAACCTTGATTATTCATTAGACATCACTACATGTTACTCATCTTGTAGCCACGTTTCTGACATTGATGGATTCTGCACAGAAAAGTGCTATTTACCATTTATACAGACTTTCATAAAGTACATTATTTCTGTTAGCAATTAGAGTTTCATTGTATGCATGTGCTAAAGAAAACTCAAAACCTCCAGTTTATGTATGATATATGTATTACATGTGCATATTATGAAAAAGGGTTATGGGTGAAGAGAATAAGTGTACAATGCATACCACAGCCCCAGTATCATTACCCTTTCTTCTGCAGCACACAGCCAGACAACCCCCCCCCCCGTAGGTATCACATCACCCTGCCATCAATTCGGCTCCAACTCTAAGTGAGACTATTCATTCTGCCTACACTGTACTGTGACACACTTTGCCAGATTCCTCCATTTTGAAATGGAGAGGAACAAGAAAAATAATGAAGGCAAAAAAAAGTTTGCAGTTATTACAATTCCTGTTTTGCAAGTAGCTGGTTTTGCCTTGTTCTTTAAAAAAAGAAGAAAAAAAAAGCAACAGTGAGTTAGAATTGTCTAACTGCCAAATAATAGATATAAATGCTTCCTGATGGCAGGGTCTCAGCAGTTGAGTAAATGCCTTAATGATGGTTTGAAAACATGTAGTGTGGTTAACATAGTTTTTATGATTTGTCTACTTGGATTTGGCACAAAGCTGTTTCACTAACTAGGCTTCAGATAATACACACCCTAAAATCTACTGGTTGCTTGTTTATTAGTCTGAAATTAATTTTGATTACATATCATTATCCAATTATCCAAAATAGTAATCCTGATGCAAGCGTCCTCTTTATCCAGGCTTGGGACTGTGATTGGGAGCACACGAAAAAAACAACAACAACAAAACAAAAAACAAGTCTCTGGTAATACTAATTTGTATGGGTGAAGTGAAGTACGACACAAACCATCTACATGGCGTTCTTCACTACATCTGTGAACCTCCTCAGTAGTCTTGCTCATTTCTTCTCTCTTGGCTCTTGACAGAGAAGGCCACATCTTTCTCCCTCCCTTATCTTTCCTTGCTTGGCTTCATGTCTTCTGTCTAGTCTCATTTAAAACTCTAACCCCCAGAAGAATCCCTCAGTCCTGTTCACTAAAACCTAAAGAAGAATTATGCATTTGATCAACTGATCCCTAAATGCAATTGACACTCTTCTTGATTAGAAGCCGGGGTTCGGAAAAGCCCGACTGTCCTGGAGGGATATTCTCTGCCGGATACACGATGGATGGGTGGTGGAATTGGCGCATTGCATGCCTGGCAGGACTATCGATTGAAGACATCTACCTATTGTGAACCATGATAACAAGCTTCTTGCTGATCAGAGCTGGTTTGACCCTGGCTTATCGAAGATTAAAGAAAGCAGTTGCAGCT